GTATGTTTGTTGGCTGTCAACTTTGGTGAACTATTTCTTCATGTCCTTTGCCCACTTTTTAATGGGGTTGTTCTTTTTTTCCCTCCTTATTCAGGTGTTGCAGTGTTTTTAATAGATTTTAGAGAATAGTCCCTTATCCACTATGTCATTGTCAAAAAAAATGTTTCCACTCTGTGGTTCTCTTTTTACAATTTTTTTCTTTTTACACTTTTGATGGAGTCTTTCGGTACACCTAAGTGTCTTATTTTTAGTAGGTCCCAGTCATTTGTTTTGCTATCTACTTTGTGTGCTTTCTTCATTCTATCTGATAATGTGCCTATGATCTGAAATCCATATTCTAAAGAATTAAGAATCATAACACGAACAGACATCTGCACAGACATGTTCATTGCAGCACTGCTCACAACAGCAAGAAGGTGGAAACAAATGCCCATCAGTAGAAGAATGGGTAAACTCTGATACAAGCACACAAAGGAATACTACGCATCCATAAATAGCAATCAGGAAACCAAAAAGCACCTCATGACATGGGTGGATCTGGAGAATATTATGCTGAGTGAAACTCACCTGTCACAAAAGGACAGATATTATAGGAGACCGTTGACAGCAGGATTTAAAACTAGTCTCATACCTAAGGGAGCACACTTTGAAGCTTGCAGGAATGGGTAGAGAGGCTGGGGAGGGGGAGGAGGAAGAGGCAATGAGCTGGAATGTGGGCTAGAGTGAAATGGAAGGTGATTGACCAGGGGGTCTGGGGAAGGAGGGCTTGGCAGTGGGGAGTGGAGGGTACTAGAGGATCTGACTAGTGGTTTGTAGTGTTGAACGCCAAGTTGATGATCTGAAATGAAAACCCCCACATCATTTACAATCCAAAAAAAAAAAAAGAATTAAACACAATAAATACTGATATGCTTTGATGTGGTATTTAAGTTCATGAGAATCTACGAAAATAGTCCAAAACTCTTTAAAAAATTCCAGTGAAGCAGCTAGGAGTTAGGGAAGTATTCCTATTGTTGGAGGCTAAGCAGGACTAGGGGCCCTAGTTAAACCCACCAGCTACTCCACAGGAGAAAGAAGAGGCTGCCTGCTTCTTTAAAGATTTAAAGTTGGAAACCCAAAGTTTGAAGTTGAATTTTGAAGTCAAAATTGGCTCTAACAGTGTGGTTTGGGGATTTAAACAATACTAGATTCTGACATCTAGTGTTCACTACAGTAAACTGCACAGCATTAACAGAATATTTGGTTGCTGTTAAGAGTCCTTTAGAGCAGGGCTGTCAAACTCAATGAAAACGTGGGCCACATCACATTTACAAATTTTGTTAAATTTATATTTTGAAGTGAGGATTCAGGAATATGGACAGGATAATTAAAACACTATATAATTGCTTTTATTTAAACGTTTATTTTATTTAATGTATTTATAAAACTAAAATTATTCTTTTTTACCCAAAACTTGCAGCACTTTCCTCCTACTAGTTTACACTTACCACTTATGTTGTGACCGGAAAATATAACAAAGAAACTAATAAAAAACAATATGTTGGACAGCTGACAAACGTGATGCACAATCGCAATGGCTTCCCTCTAAAAATGTTAACTATTGCTGCCACTAGGTCTGACTCATAACAGCACAACCCAGAGTGCTCTCTTTAACCTTTTCCCTATTGGGATCTGTTTACATTACATGATACTGAGAGTGGCAGACATATCACTTCCAAATATTGCCTGAACTGAGTCAATGCATTTATACACATCCACAGGCCCCCAGGAAAGGCACTGGGGCACATGTATATTCATCTTCAGTAGTTAAAGGGTTAACGAGGGAATTGTGTGTATGGTATTGCTTTGATCTCCCCTAAGCGCTATTTTCTTCATAACAATTTTTTTCTATTTTCATTTTATTTCAGAGCATACCGTTGCAGATTGCTAGGTTATTTTATCCTGCAAAAGGACTAGAAAGGTTTGAACTGCAAAGTTTGCAGCTAGTCTTCAAACACCAATGTGTACCACCCAGGAAACTTGAGTATCTGGTAATCCTATCATATTACTATATTAGGAGCTATGTCTTTTTATCGTATTTTAAACGTAAAGCGGACTTTGTCTTGGGAAGCCATTCGATTGAGTAGCATAAAAGAAAGCCACACATAGGTTACTAAGAGGAATATCCAGAGTTTTATCTAGTTTCATTCTTATTTTTGAATCACAGAGCAGGACTAATCACAGGGAGGATCACTCAAAAAGTGGACACAGTTGGGACGGTGCTGGGGCCATGTGTGGCACTGGGAAGAGGGGGTCAGGAAAAGAGGAGCAGTGGGACTGATGGCTCTTGTATCCCATTCTGAACAGGTCAAGGGCAGATGAAGCACAGGACTCTTGGAATTGGGCAAAGAGCAAGGCTGTCAACCAGCGGTCGAGAATCCTGGGAACACTCATTGCATCATTGCAGTGATACAGAATAATCCACTCCACAAAGGTATTTCTTGCCTTTACTACAGTGACACCTGCAAAAGCTGGTTCACCACATAATCCCTTTGTTTTTCCAAGTCTCACTAGTTTTCTGCCTTTGACAGGATGCAGTGTTACCACTTTCCAAAGACGCCTTTTAGTGGAAAATCTTTGTGCTTTCATTTTGAGACAAGTTTCTACCGTACACAGCTGCCTCCTTTCATGGATTTTACTGGTTTCATTTCTTCCCACTGAAATCGTTTTAATGCATCCGTCCCAGGCAAGAAGGAAGAAATTGTCCCTGCTCATGTCCATACATTATTCTATCTGCTGTGTTTGGGGTTTTCTTCCTCATCTGCCCTCAGGTTTCCAGAAGTTGGAGATAATGGATACAGAAATGTAGGTATTATCATGGACAAGGTAGGGGTTTCATTCACAGTTGTGCCATGTATTTTCTCAATATTCAAATCACCAAGCTAAACTTAGAGATTAAAAGAAAAAAGCAAAATGGAGTGAATCTGAACGGGTGCTTATGAGATAAGATCCATTTTCAGATTTCCGTGTTTTCTCTAAGTTACACACCCTATCTTATTGGAAGTTTAAGCTGATTGCATTCCCAATTGTGAATCTCAATTTCCTCCCTCAACAGAGATACCTTTGAATCATGATTGGCATTTCTCATTCACAATACCCTGCAGCCACTAAGTTATCATGTCTGGACAGCTCTTACTCCTAGGCAGCTCAGAACTATCTATGACTCATTTTTCCTCATTAAAAAACGAAGCCCACTGCTACCACATTGATTCTGACTCAGAGCGAGCCTGTACACCGGAGAATCTTCATGGGAACTGACAGTCTCCACTTTTCCCCCTTGGAGCAGCTGGTGGGTTGGTTGAACCACCGATCTTGCACTTAGCATCTCAATGTATATAAATCTGGCAACACCACCAGAGCATCTTCCCCTTCAAATCCAAATGACCATCATCCCCTGCACACACAAATCATAAAGACCAACAAACAAAAACCCATAATAAACTGTCATATAGTCAACAGAGAATAATCCTATAGGACAGGGTACCACTTTCCCTGTGGGTTTCTGAGACTGTAAGTCTTTACAGGAGCAGGGAAACAAAACAAAACACCTGCTGCCATTGAGTGGATGCTGGCTCACAGTGACCCTTGGGGACAGGGAATAACATTCCCTGTGTTTCCAAGACTTTAACTGTCTTTCTCCTGTGGAGGGGTTGGTGGTTTTGAACTGCAAACTTTGCAGATCACAGCCCAAGTTTAACCACTAGGCAGCCAAAGCCTCATCCTTCTATTGCTCAGACTAGTGTGACTGATCTCCATTGATTTCTTAAGCCAATTAACATTCGGCTTAGAAATGTCAGTAGCTTATTAAGTACACTTAAGGAATTATTATTAGTGTATAAGGCCCTATATTAATCTCACACTCTCCTTTTATTGAACCTCTTTCTGTTCTTCATTTCTGCTGTACTCAAGGCATTTCCCCCAGATCTTCCTTAAAAGGATCAGAAATCGGGTTGAAATTTGAACTGGTATATTCAGCAGCATCATTTGGGTGATAAAAACAAGAAAATCAGGCTAGAGGTTATATTGGTGGTATAACCTTGTATATATATACACAAGGTGAACTATTGGTGGGATATGTAGATATAGATAAAATAAAATGCACTATTGGGCTGGAGATGAGTCTAGAAAATTCAAGCAGCGCAGAGATAAAGGACTATCAACAGCAATTCCAAGCTAACCAAGAGGCTAATTAGCATAATGACTAACAGTTTCTGCTTTGGAATCAGACAAATCAGGTTCTGAGCATGACTCAGCCTCTTAAACCCTGTTTAACTCCCAGTGAATCATAATGCCCCTGAGCCCTAATTTCCACATTAAGACAATCTCTACCTTAGCCTTCACAAGGATTAAGTTATATACATGTAGTGTTTGGCATACATGAATCCTATAGTTAAACTTTAAATAAGAGGTGTCTTATTATTATTAAGAAGAAATGAGGCTCTAACAATAATGTGTTATGTATCAAGCAGGAATAAGCCATGCTTAATCAATGCTCACGATAATGAGCATCCCTGGGACAAAAACTAGACCACGTTCTCCCTAGAGGTTTATGGACTGTGGTGACTGGGTGGAGGCTCCCTCTAGTGCCACAGATATGTTTCCAGGTAACCACAGGATGACCTCAGCATAAATTCCCTCCCAAGGCTTCTTAAGTTCTAATAAGATGGTGCTCTTGTTCAAACAGTTTCCTTTTGTCACAATAAACACTCGTCACTTGGATTTTACCCTCATATTTTACCCTCATATTTTCATACTCTTTTTGATCTAAGAAATGAGTGTTTTCTATATGACTTAAATCAGCTTGACCTGAACTAGACAAAACCAGCCACTGTACCCGTGCCTACTTTTACAGGACAGGAATAAACATAACTATGATATCCATCTCTTCCTTTACTATCCTTGATGGACAGACATGCGCAAATGATTGGAACCCATTAAAACAAAAGCAAAGAATGGCAAAATAATAGAATGAAATTTTATTTTACCAAGAAGAAACCCTAAAACAGCATGTTTTAGTGAAAAGAGCCATAGAGAAGTAACCAAAAATCACAAAGTTATGGTTCAGCCTCTGAAATGGATTACTTAGATGATCTAGAATAAGTCACTTATTTTCCCTGGTTCTCAAATTGTTCATATATAATGAGGATTAAAGGTTTGTATTATCTCAATTCTATTAGTATATAAGTGTCTTTAGAGAAAATAGGAAAGGAACATTTGTATGTATATAGTATGTATTCCCAAGTGCGCTTGTAACTACAGGGATAGCGTTGTTTCTCCTAAAATGTGGATTTTAAATGAGGGGACTGGAGTTGTGATTGGGAAGGCCTACTTGGATGCCCTATGCTGCCATCATCTGGTTACACCCAGGTTCCCTTCCTCCGCCTGTGGTAATAGAGCAGCGGCTCTCAAATCCTGGTTACCAGACACGGGAATCAGCATGTGCTGGGGATTTGCTAACCATGCAAATCTTCAGGCTCGGTCCTAGTCCTACAGAATCAGGAACTCTGGGAGTGGGTGTCAGCCATCTATGTTGCACCCTCTCCACCAAGGGCTGTGCTGTGGTGTACATTAGATAGGAGAATCATGGCTGTGAACCCTTCATTACTGTAAAAGAAGAAGTACAGGCTGGAGCTACAGACACAGCAGAGAGGCAGTAAAGGGGAAACACAGGGCATTCTGTAGAGAACTTGGGTCACCAGAGTTAAGAACGGAGATTGGAGAAATACAGTACTAGGCAGCTGGAGGATCATGGCAGTGAGGAGCTGGTCTATACAGAGATCAAGCAGTAATAAGAGAGCAATGGCCAAATGCTCCTATTCAAATCATTTGCTCTCTTGTGACATGTCTGCCACCGAGCTGAGAAAAGCTAGCTTTAAAATCCTTTTATTTTTTTCCTGGAGTGGATCCCAAAGTAAGAACCACCTTCTTTTCTCAGCCACCGTGATTCCTGACCCTTATAGTGACTTAGCACAGACACCTGGGCATTAAAGGCTTCTCCGAGCTCATCTTGCATGTTTCCTCTAACCAATAACCTTCGATTCACCAGATCCCATTTTTAATTCTCCCCATACTGCCGGCTAAGATGCGGATATGTGTTCAGGGAAAGTACATACATCCCAGGAGTTTCTCTGGGCTAGAGGCCAGCCTGGGCAGAGAAAGCGGCAGGGGTGAGAATCAGTCTACGAAAGCGACAAGGCAAAAACTCAGCATGGACACTCTCCAGGAGACCTATCGATGAGGTGTTGCCATCGAGGACATTGCCCTGCGAGGGGAACCCCCGGCTTTGCAGCTTCCTGGCCAGAGTGAGGGCCACCAGCCGGCTGTACCCTTTCCTGCGATGTTCTGGCAGGGTATAGCCATGGCACATGGTGGCAAACTGGTCCGTGATCGACCAGGAGACGGGGCTCCCCCTCTCATCACGGACACACACACTGGGGAAGCAGGAGATGAGGTTAGCGAGGTATCGGAGACACTGTACATTGCCGCCCCGCGACCAAGTCTGGTTGAGTAAGTCAGCATCAGCAACGCTCAAGGAGGTCAGTCGTGGAGAAGACCCCATCCTAGAAGGGAAGACCACAGGGGAAGCACGATGAGCTAGGGATGCACTGCAAACAGCTTCTCTTTTCACAGATTCCCCCAGAGACCTCTCCCAAGAAATCATGCTAACCAACACCTTTTGACTGTTAAAGAGACTGCTGTGCTCTTAGAGTGTGAGTCTTTGTTTGTTTTACTAGTGGTTCTGCGGTTCTCGTTCACATTTCAGGCATGCAGTGGGCTCTGGCCAATGCAAGGTCACCGAGCTACCTAACCACTAAGTCAGAGTAAGAAAATACATGTAAGTATTGCCTTAAGAGGATCCTTGATTTGATTTTTGAAATTGAACTTTAAAGCCAAGGCAAATAAGCCTTAGGCAGAAATGGCACTGCGAAACTGTTTCAGGAGCAGGTACATTCCAGGCTCTAACCTTCTGTCTGAAGGGCAAGTTTTGGAAACGAAAAGAGTCCACAAGTTTGGGTAATGACCTAAGTGTTGATTGAAGACAAATGATCTATCTTCTTATGCCAACAAGATTGTCAAGTCAAAACCTGATTTTCAAAAGGTCTGACTGAGGACAGAGGACATTTTTAAATGACATGTCAGAGATATGATGGGTAAACAGACTGTGGGAAACTCTAGGAAACAAAAAACTCCAGTTTCTTTAAGAATAAAAAGGTATTACATAAACCCATGGCTAGTGGTTGCACGTTGGGCTTCTACCCACAAGGTCAGCAGTTCAAAACCACCAGCTACTCCTTGTGAAAACGAAGAGATTATCAATTCCTGTAAAAATGTACACTCTCAGAAACCCCCAGGGGCAGTTGTAACGTGTCCTATAGTATCACTATGGGTTGGAATGACCCCGATAGAGAGTGAGTGAGTGTGAGTGAGATAGGACCAAAGGACAGCTAGAGGCTCTCACCAACTGCAAAGCATGGGCCTTATTTAGATCCTGGTTCAAAACAAACTATCTTTCAAAAACTGTGACAATTAGGGAAATGTATGAACACTAATTTGTTATTTAAGTTATTGTTATTATTACTCTTAGTTTAATTATCCTTTAGAGTAGTGGTTCTCGATCTTTCTAATGCCGTGACCCTTTAATATAGTTCCTCATGTTGTGGTGACCCCACCCCAATCATAAAATTATTTTCGTTCCTACTTCATAACTGTAATTTTGCTACTGTTATGAATCAGGTGACCCCTGTAAAAGGGTTGTTCGACCCCCAAAGGGATTGTGACAAGTTGAGAACCGCTGCTTTAGAGACTCATACTAAAATATTTAATATAATGTAATGTTTGAGATATTTTCTTCAGAATAATGCAAGAAATGGAAAGAGTTGATAGTCTTGTAGCCATGTATTGATGGACGAATCATTTTAGTATTCTCATTTTTTACATGTATTTAAAAATTTTAATAATTAAAAATAAAGTCAAGTTGCTCTCCTGTGATCTAAAGTGCTCATTATTCCCAAGGTTTTCCCTTATTTTGCTCAACAATTTCTTCAATCCATAACATCCCCCATTGTGGATTGAATTGTTATCACCAAAAAATATAAATTATACATCCTAACTTCTATGTCTGTGGATAATATCCCATTTGGGATATTATTTTGTCAATGTCATTATTGTGTTAATGACACAAGGTTAATGTAGGATATATTTTGAATCAATCTCTTATCAAATATAAAGGGATACGATTAAGCAGGCAGAGATAAATTATAGTAGATGCCAAGCCACATGTAGAGGACCACTAATCAGGAAACAGAAACTGAAGAGACAATGAGCCAGCAGAGAGACAGGCCTTCAGCTACAGCCAGCACCCTGGAGTCAGAGCATCGTGTTGGGCTGCAGTTTGAGACCACCGCCTCTCCATGGAAGAAAGATGGACATTCTACTTCCATGGACTTACAGTATTGCACATCCAGAGGGGTCATTCTATCTCGATGGCAGAGAGGGTTTTTTTTTTTTTTTTTGAGCCTTCTATATATAGAGAGAATAAATTTCTGTTTGGCAAAGCTAACCATTTGTAGTATTTAGGTTAAAGCACAAGAAAACAGACACCTCTTGAAAGGAAGAAAACATTCATTAAGGTAGGTATGTTCAAATTTCTTATTTGATTCACACACATACACACACGTACACACACAACATGTAAGGTAGGTCTTAAACTTTTGAGAAGAAATAGATAAAGGCTAAGCTAATGTGACTGTAACTAGTAAAAGAGCAGGTTTCCCAAGATAAGAAAGAAGAATGCAGGTGTAAGATAATAAACGTTTGAAGGCTTAGATTCTGGAATCAGACTTCTGGGATTATTTTCTGGTTCTACATTTTACTCATGGTATGTTTCTTCATCTGAGTTTATACAAAGAGAATAGTCATTCTAGGCTTGTGGTACTGATTAGATGGATTATAAAGTTAAAACATTTTGTGATTAGCACAGAAGAATGGAAGCTAAATCAGTTATGAATCCCTCTCCCCAAAATAATAAACTCAGTGAAAACAACCTATAGCTCAGATGATGGAAGCATCGAGGGAGGAGAATGCATAGGAATTATTTGTGTGTGTGCGCTGAGAAACAGTGTTTCAATTCTTATGGAATGCACATTGCGGGGTTCTAAAAAGGTGGTGATCCACCTAGGTCCTTACCCTGAGCTGTTCATTTGAACCTTAGACATTGATCCAACTGAGTTCTGAAAGTCGTCTTTACATTAAACAGTTGTCTAGAAGTAGATATATTAGGAAAGATCATTCAATCTTAGGCACTGGAATCTTTTGAAGGATTATTTACATGTAGTCAGTTTCAAGAAACAGAAACACCAATGTTATACTAGAAGCTGTGTTTCAGAGTCAATTGTAACTAAGTTAACACATGATTCTGCCCGTTTCCATGATGTTATCCACAAGATGGGATATAAAACCCTGGAAGTTCTTTCTAGAACATTTTTGGCTTTCTAATCAAAATTTTACCTGATTTTCAAATGAAATAAACTTTCATCAATTCTATTATTGGATTAATCTGATCTTTGTTTAGTAGTGGCATATGACATTATGGGATTTCCAACTTCATTTGTAACTATGAAAGAAGTTATGAGTAGTCAGCCACGTAGGAGTGGAAAGATAGTAAACATATACACACACATATAATCTAGCCATGATGGCCTAACCCCAAGGTGCCTAAATATTCCTCACTGATACTAAGAATTTCAGTTACTATACTTCTATCACAATAACACTGCCCCAAACACAGAAAACTGATTTACTTACAAGGAACTGATGTCTGGCAGAGTTGAAACAGGAGAAAAACGAACTGCCCGGAAGGACGTTAGCTTTATATCCAAAAACTTGGAATCTGCCACAGCTTTGGAAACATCATATAAGTCACTGTGTAGCCCTGGATTTAGAAAAAAGAAAGAAAAATGTGAGCATTTTAATTGAAAAGAAGGTGGGGGGGATTGCTGCACTATTGCTATACTTAGTATTAGCACCACCACCCACTTACCACTGTGCCTCCTGGTCGTGTGCTAACCATTGTAACCACCGACCTACACATACAAATGTGTTGCCGTTGCTGCTGGGCGGCTTTGAGCCCATTCCGATTTGCAGCAGCCACGTGTACAGAGTAGAATTGCTCTGTCGGGGTTTCTCGACTGATTTTTCTGGAAGCAGATCGTCAGGTCTTTCTTCTTTAGAGCTGCTAGGTGGACTCAATCAACCAACCTTTGGGGTAGCAGCTGCGTGCTTAACCATTTAGATCCATCAGTGACTTTGAGCGTGGTTTTCAAGTTTTGTGTAAGATTTTCGAATTCCCACTGTGCTGCTCATTGTGATTAAATAGTGTGATCTTCTATGGAAATTTCTGGTGAAATGATCCCTTGGGGATCTGGGCTTTCCTATAGAGATTTTGATTTATTTGACCCTCAGGCTGACGGTAAGTTCCTCTGAGTATGGGACGGTGTTTCCTAGCTCTAAAAGTCTACGATACACTGTGCAACGAGACAGATCAAAGGTATAAGATTTGTTTGACAGGGCGGCACTCCAAATTTAAAGACTCTTTCATCCAATTGTCAAATATCCATTAGATAAAGTCTATCCAATCCAAATATTAACCTGAGGCGACCTCACTTAGCTTCAGAGAAAATAAAAGAATTAAAATCTATTGTTGGTGAGACTGATTTTGAATTGAAACTCACCTAGATCCCATTTATTATAGCTATCATCTATGAAAGCGCTCTGGTTGGTTAAAATGCCGGATGCTCACCAAAAGGTCAGCGGTTCAGGCCCACCAGCCTTTCTGTGGGAACCGTGGCAGTCTGTTTCCACAGAACTTTGTAGCCTTGGAAGCTCCACGGGGCAGTTCTGATCTGCTCTACAGGGTTACTGTGCAGCCGAACTGTTCAGCAGCAGTGGAATTTTGCATTTGATAACAGATTATTCATTTTTATATATTACCTGTTTTGTGTACAGCACTGTGCTGGGCATGTGCTTCACAATAGAACAAAAGAAGGTGGCATGGCCTTTGTTGTAAATAGAATTTACAGTCACGTAAGTGAGCACCTTTGTTCTGTCGGTCCAAAAGGTTACCAGCTCCATCCTTTCTAGTTTGTGCTCTGATGACTGAAGTTCTTAAGACACTGAATTTCCCACTTCCTTCTCATCTACAGTCCTGCTTCCTCCCTTCTGGTAAGTCCATTCCTCCAATAAAAATATGTCTCATGAGATATACATGAACGGGAAGAATGTTGAACATGGTCTGATCCATGAGCTTTGGCACCTGCTTCTAGGAATTAAGCCTTAGAAAAGGCGAGCAGGTCTTCAACAAGTATTGATTATTTAATTGATACAAATTTAATTCTATTAAAATGATTGGTGTGGCTTGAATTCCTTATTATGACCTTGAATTGCATCTAATGGGCTCAAACAGGAGACGAATCATAAGACTGGTGCAGGCCTGGGCAAGTGTTTCCTTCTGTTGCACACCAGGCTACTATGAGTGAGAACGGACTTGATGGCCCCTAACAACCAGCACCTGTGAGGAAAGAAGGCAACTCCAACCCCAAGGATGGAAGACAGCCCAAGCAGAATTTCTTTCCTTTGAACTAGAGTGGTACCCATTCCCACCCTCCACCTCCCCACCCCCAAAGCCAGCTTACAGTTCCCTTAAAAACCTTTTCATAGTACAACATAACATGTGGTTACTGTGCTGTTAAGGGCCCGTCAGTTGGTTCTGACTCCTGCAGACCCTATGCCCGACAGAATGAAAGTTCGAGCCTGTCTGTCCTCTTCACATTTGAGCCCATGTCTCAACCACCGGGCTAATCCTCTTGTCCAGAGGCTTCCTCACTTTTGCTGCTCTTCTGCCTTACCGAGAATGATATGCTTTTTCCATGGACTGGTCTCTCCTTGTACGTGCCCAAAGTAAGTGAGACAAGTGTTGACGTCCTTGCTTCCAAGAGCATTCTGGTTGTACTTCTTCCAAGACAAAGTTGTTTGTCCTTCTGTCAGTCTGTGGTACTTTCAACATTCTTTGCCAGCACCATCATTTAAATCCATTAATTTTGCTTTTGTCTTCCTTATTCAATGTCCAACTTTCACCTGGCTATGAGGTGATTGAAAGATCCCATGGCTTGGGTCAGGCACACCTCAAAGCGACACCCTTGCTTTAAAACACTTTAAGGAGATCATCAGTAGCAAATTAACCTGAGTCAATATGCCTGTTACTTTCTTGACTGCTGCCTCTGTGAGCATTGTTTGTGGATTCAAGCAAGATGTAATCTTGAGAGCTTCCAAGTTTTCTGTTTATCATGAGGCTGCCCTGGTCTAGTGGAGAAGATTTTGGGTTCCTTTTTATCGAATTGTAATCCACGTTGAAGGCTGAAATCCTTGACCTTCATCAGCAAGTACTTCAAGTCTTCTTCACTTTCAGCAAGCAGGGTTGCATCCTCTGCAAATCATAGTCTCTTAATAAACCGTCCTCTCATCCTGATGCTGCATTCTTCTTCATATAGCCCAGCTTCTCTGATCATGTGCTCTGCATACAGATCGAATAGGTATGGTGAAAGCATACAGTTCCGACGCATGCATTTTCTGATTTTAAACCACATAGTTACCCCTGGCTCTGTAGTATAGACAAAAAGTTGCATGAAACAAATGTGATGTCAAAGTATTACATCTTAAAACATCTTCCAAATCTAAGAAATGCAAATTTACTAATAACCTTATATTTAACCCCCATCACAATTCCATCCTCTCCTAAAAATAACCACTCTCCTAATTTTCATGGTAATCACTTCCTCGTTTTCCTTTGTTATGCTTTTTAATTACCTGTAATTACATGGGGAATGGATTATTAGTGAATAATAAGCTCACTGGCTTTCTTCGTGCTAGATATTCAGAGAATCTGTATGTGCATACATATGAGCACATATTCTTGTAAACATATATTCATTGGAATAGTCATATAGTAGACATTTTATTTAGGTTTTCTGGCCTAAGATACCTTCTCTAATTCAATTTAGGAGATCATTGTATTGGAATACCAAAAGCTTGCCCAGATAACGATAAAGTGAAACTTTATCAATCCTATAAAGGAGACATTTGTGAAGCCTTTTGCCCAGGATTCAATGGTTGAATTGGATTCAGAGTTTGCTCAATGAAATTTATCTTTCTACATGCCAACCCAAGACACTTGATTTATTTACCTAGCTACGCTCGCAGGCACCTTCCATTTGACTCTTTAATTACTAGTAGCTGTAGCATTTCTCTCTGCAGTCAAGTCTGGATATAAAAGAAGTATGAAGAGGCTTCAAAAAGGTGGGAGACACTTCCATTATCTTTCATTTACATTTCCTACAATTTTTAAGCCCCTCTTTCTGAACCCTCCACCTCATATAATACAAGGAAGGGATTTTGACATTAGAGTCTTTTGTGTAACGGCAAACTCAAACCCACTGCCATCAAATTGATTCTGACTCATAGCAACCCTACAGGACAAGGAAGAACGTATCCGTTAGGGAGCAGACCTCATTTTTCTCTTGTGGAGCAGCCGGTGGATTTGAACCGATGACTTTGTGGTTAACAGCTCAACTTAGAACTCACTACACCACCATGGCTCCCTTTTTGTGTAATGACAGTCTATAAATATGCAAAAATCTTGGAAGATAAGTCAACCTTATCTAAACTTTTCCATATAACTTAAATGACTTTTGTTATAATACATGGTTTCTGGAAAGTGAGATCCTAGACATAAATCCTTGAAACATCTGTTATAGTTGTTTAACATCAACTCATGTTGGGTTTTCTCGGCTTTTTTTTTTAATATCTCCAGAAGGATACATAACTTCTATTGAAAATCTTTGGCATAAGTCTCTGAAGTTAACTACTGTAACTAAATCAGGCTCTCAAATCACTCAGTAACCAATTATCCAATAGAAGCTCATTTGGGGTACCCCCTAAACAATCCTTCTTATGATTCCAACCAGAGACGAAGGGTGGTTATATAAATTATTTGTTCTTTAGACTGTATCTGTTCTGGCTTGATGCTTTTGTGTGTGTGTCTGAATCATCAGTTCTCACTTATGTGACTTGGGGTCTACCTGCATTCAAATGTACTCCCTCCCTTTTCCCCCTTCTGAATAAATCCTCCTACTCACACTTGAAGAACTAAGTGTTTGTTTTCTTTACAATTGTTTTATTTGTTTATTTACTTTTCTGCTGATTCCTACCTTGAAAAGACACTGCAGAATGGAGAAGAGTGGATATTCTGACATGAGTTCCTTTGTGGTGTAACGGTTGTGATTTCTATGGGGCTGGTGGCACAGCAGGCTGTACGTTGGGTGCCGCAGGTGGGAAAGATGAGGCTATAACTGCTCCTGGGAAGATTCCCAGTCTTGGAAAAACTCTATGGGGTCTCTGTGAGTTGGGATGGACTCAATAGCTGTGGGTTTAAGGCTTTCAGGATAGCAGTGGGTAGGGATGAAGGAATGAAGAGAACCAGAGTAATCAAGACCTAAAGAGAAGCAATAATCCCTACCTTCTGCCTCGCCTGAGGGAACCAGTGTCGACCTGACTATGCAACACATTTTCAATTTTCCCACGAAGCAGCTGATACCATAATCTTGAGGTGAGGACCTTGTCTGACAAAAGACCACTGGAAACAATTGCTTTTACCTGCACCTTATGATCCTGGAACACAATGATAATTAAAGAAATCCCCTTACCTTCGGACTTCCAAAAAAGTTCTTCCTCTAAAGAACACCCTTCTCCATATAACTTAAATAAAATTCATAAAGGACTCCTTGTTAAGCCTTTCAACTTCCCATCTTTTGCTTCATACTTACCTGAAATTCTTGTGCTCACTGATCAATTGATACAAGACACTTATTAATTGAGCTTTGGCTTAGGTTCTTTATTCCCCCAGGTCCTTGAATATTGCCCACCCTCACTCAGCACACAGCATCTCATTAGGAGGCCCATCTGAAAATGTCTTCAGTGCCAAACGTTTTCTGATCACATCACCCTTTCATTCGGCTTCTCCACACCCAGGTCTTTCTACTCGTGTGCCAATATAAGAAAAACCTTTGTGCCGAACACAGGAGGCATTTGCTGATCAAGTGTCAGAGTGTTTTCCCTATAGCAGCAGTCCCCTTGCCTGTTATTAGAATCCCCTATTCCCCTTTGTAATAATCTTTAAGAAAGTCTCTCCTTACTTAGTCGGATTTGTTTCTTAATTCAAAGCTGCTTCCAACCAGCCCAGGGATTATACAACTGACAAACCCAGACACCCCTGACAAGCAAACACAGAGAAAGCTATCCTATTAAGAGACAGAGACAATTTGACTCTTAGACATCTCTCCTGGGTCTCCCCCCTCCAGATTTCATCCCTGAGAGATTACCAGTGCTCCGTGCTCAACTGAGCTTGCTGCTAGGCAATCAAACTTAAGCTTAGAATCCAATCTTTAGCCTCTAAAGGTCTTTTTTTAATTTTTAATTTTGTTAAACAATTCTAAAGATTCAACCAAGTCCCCCTAAATCACTCAGGTTCTGGAGTGGATCGCTCAAGCCTTTGTTTTAACAATTTTCCTTTCCTCCTTCCCACGAATCCATAGGATTGAACCTCCTTTGACTCATGCTGAGTTTGTTCTGACTTGTGCCTCATGCATTTCTGTTTATACTGGTGGACTGATTACTCCTGAACCAATGCTAGGCGATATAAATGATAAACATTTTACCCTTCAAGCTAAAGATTCTACTGACAGTAGAATATGATCCTTATTGCATTTAGGGGAACACTCAGCATCCCTCAGTCTGTTGCCGTGCCCCTCTGAAACTTCTTGTATTGTTTCCTGCATATATCACGGCGGTTTCAAAAACTGGTGGAAATTTTGCATTAGTCTTTCATTCATTTTGTCTATGAATATTTTGAAGCACCTTTAAGTGTGTGTGTGTATGTAATCTATTTATTTGTCAGACATAGAGAGAAAGGAGTGAAAAACAACTCCATAGTGTATCAGTATCTTGCAATTGACCTTACCTTGTATTTGAAAAATCTGGTCCCAGTTGATAACATCACGTTCTTCCAATAGCTGTCTGTAAGCCTGAGCATCCTTGTAGAACACAGCATAGGCATTCGTATAATGGTCCAAGTCATCTGTCTCAGCCTAGGACAGAGGACATAATGGAAAACCTGAAGTATACCTCCAGGATGGCCCTCACTGATACAAATTAGATGGCTAAGTGAGTATGTGACTAGCATACTGCAGTGGGGAAGAAAATAATTGGGACTTTGGATCTATTCATTCTTCCAGGAAGATCATCAAAACCAAACTTACCACCACTGAGTTGATTCCAACTCACAGTGGCACTAGAGGGCAGATTGCAGCTGCCCATGTGGGCATTCAAGGCTGTCAATCCTCCTGGGACAGATAGCCTCATCTTTCTCACCCACCCTGACTGGTAGAGTCCCAGTGCTGACTTACATTAGGGAGGACTGGTGAGCTTTATTCTGACCTTTGCTGAGGTTGACTACTCTGCCTATAATTCGTACATTTAGAAAATTTACAAAAAAGTTTGGCTCATGGGATCCACTTAGGAGAGACCCTCAGAGCTTCCCTTTTGTAGCCAAGAGAGCACAGTCCTGCTCCCTGGACCCTCTCTTTGTTCTCAGCAGCAGAACAAGGTGGGTGCTGTCTCCATTCTTTTCCCCCACATGACCAAGGGACCAAATGAAATTGTCTGTGAAAGTCAGACATGTGTGCTACTTCGTGCCTCTGGCACTTTGTTAAACACACTTGATGAAAACTCTTTCAGCTCTAGGGTGTTCCTTATGTTTGGGGCTCCTGAGCTATTCCAGGTAGAACTGTGACATAGGCAGCATGGTAGGGCTACTCTTTTTTCACCAGTTGATGTCAACTCTTTATTATTATTATTTTGCCTTTCAAACTGTACCTCTCTCTGCCGCCGGGTGACAACAGCTTTGAAGTCTGGCCATGAATCCAACACTACTTCCTTCTGAAAAGGATTTCCACGATTTATGTTCATCACTGCTCCATAAACCTGAGCAGACAACCCAGAGAGGCAAGTGAATCCAACTGACAATTGTTTCCCTTATGGCTTACCCTCTCCACTTTGGGCTCTTAGGTGCCATGTGTCCATGTGGTGGAAATGTGTGCACACACAGAGGGCAAGTGAAAAGCACTCTCCTGATATACTTATTCTAAACAAGAAGTGGTTAACCATGTCTGTGATCCATGTCTTAGTTTCAATCGGGTGCCTTCAACATTAGAAAGAGAGATAGGAAGACCAGTTGAAAAGAAAGCAGGAAATATTAAAACTGAAACCAGTTTAGTCCTTGTTGTTTCTCATTTGTGTGTTTGCTTCCTGTTTGTCTTTTGTATGATGTTCTGTGTATGGAATCTAGGATAAGTAGACCTTTAGAGACCGTAACTGGAATGATAGTTGCCTAGGGACATGGCAGGGGAGGGAAAAGGGGAGTATGAGAATGAGTATGAAAAACAACGAGTATGAGAAAATATTCTGAAATTGATTGTGGTGATAATTGTACAAATCTGCTTAATATGATTGAATGATTAAGTTGTGTGATATAGGAAGTATATGCCAATAAAACTATTTTTAGAAAAGAAAGAAAAGGCCCCAAACATAACTACTTCCCAGGGATCTGCCGGGCTAGTCAATTGAAGGCAGAGCGGTTTCCTTTGAAGATAGTGGCAACTATTTGGTGGGATTTCAAAAGGGTGATCTTGATTTATTCTCTACAAGGAAGCAGAACAATCAAGGATACGTTTTAAGAAAATTGAAAAACCTATTGTTGAGAAAAAGGCCAGAAAACTTGTAGCAAGGATTTCATTTTCATCACGACGACGCACCTGCTCAGTCTTCAAGGTTAACAAAGGCTGTCCTATGAGGGTTTAATTGGGGAAACTTACCCCACCCACTCTACAGTGTTGATCTTGCCTTTTCAGCTTTATTTGTTTCTATGCCTCAAAATGCAAAGAGCATTTAAAAGGAATTCCTTTGAGTCTCTCAAGGATGCCGTAACTCCTGTTTTGACATGGTATAAATCAAAGAGCCTAGACTTATTCAGGGACGGGTTAGAAAAATTGAAACACCACCTTCAAAAGTATATAGACCTAAATGGAGGCTATGTTGAGAAAAATATAACTCCACATTTTGATATCTTTGTTTAATAAAGCATCTGATTTTTTGTCGCAATACTTTTAAACTAATCCTCATGTACAATATGCACACATACAAACTTCTGTCTTATTTCATCAGTGCATCTGAAACTGACACTAAGTATATGAAATCCTATGGAAATATGTTCTAAACATTTACATTTGTACAGTACAATAGAGAGAGGCACCAAACAGAAAGAATTAACGATCAGTGTGCTTGGCACATATATGTAAGCAATAAATACTGAATCAGAATCTGATATGAACATTATCTTTAAGAAGTTCCAGAGATCATTTTCATGCTCAACTGTTTTTGAAATTCCCTGTATTATCTTGATAACAACCCTCCTTCAACATTGAGTTACAGTTAATCATTTGGGAGTAAAACAATACAGAGTGGTATTAATATTCTCTTCTGTGACCTTTCCCATTTTTCCATGCAAAGAAGAAAATACATTTGTCCTAAAACATCCATCTTATCATATGTGATATGAGGGCTTATCGAGGTTGGAGATAGTGTGGTGGTGCTGAGGAGAGCTGTATGTAGGTCAAAGTTTGATTGGAAACAACCCAAATGCCCACCCATAGTAGACTGGATCAATAAACTGTGGGTTAGCCATACAATTAATTGCAAACAGCAATGAGAATGAATAAATTGCCATGCTGAGAGGTAAGCGGAGAGCTGGTGGTACAATGACTAAAGCACTCGACTGTTAGCCAAAAGTTCTATGGTTTGAGCTCACCAGCCACCCCTTGACATGAAAGACAGCCTACAAAATCCTATAGGGCTGGGAAACCTCGGAAACTCTGTCTTATCAGGTTGCTTTGAGCAGGAACCAACTGGAGGACACAGCACAACACAGACAGAATGCCCAGGCCAAGAAGCTAGATACAAATGGATACTTACTTCATGTTTCAATGAATATTTCATTCATAAGCAAGGAAAACTCAATTGGGATTTTAAAAGTGAAGATGGTAGCTACCTTTGGGGAAGGGGCGAGGCAATGATTGGAAGGGAGCTTGGGGCTGCGATGCGGGAAGGGTAATGCCTGAAGCTGTGTGCTTTCAACAGGTATTTGCTCTGTGAAAATTCACCAAATAGCATAATTATTTAGTGTTCATTTGCCGGTATGTGTTATACGTACATGACCAAACTATATATTTATCATTTTTATCTCTTGATCAATCCTTTTTTAGCCGTATGATTCCAAATTAATACTCAGACTTTGGGCATCATGTACAATTTAAAAACAATCATCAGGGCAAGATTTAATCAGGACCCTTTGTCATACTAGAGGGCTTTCTCCAGATGGCTGTTGTTCAGATTTGAGCGGACTAAGGGACTTCCCAGGGAGGGTCTTACAAATGAAAAGCCCTGACCTCTGTCTTCAGATATTCTGATTCATTGTATATCTCTTAGGTGATCTGCAAGTTAAATTACAGTCCTAGGACTGTCTTTTTGCTCAAGAAATTCAGCCCTCCAAGAACCCATCCAAGGGGAGGGTATTGTTTATATCTCCACAGGAGAGGGAGAGAGAGACCAGGTGTCAACCCGATGGGCCAAGACTTGAATATAGCATACTGGCATGTACCACGGAATCAATAGAAGGTCTGTGGGGCCTCCCCAACACCAACTATGTGGCCACCCCCCACCCCCCCAGAAGAATGTACTTCAGAGGACAACACTGGGGCTACAGCTTGGGAGGGGGGCATGTCGGATTAGAACACATGGGACAAATGAAAAGGGAAGGAGGGGGAGGAGAGGACATCCTGGCCCACCAAGCCCCAAGGATGATGTTCCTGCTCAGAGCAGACATTGCACGGGGAGGACCTTAGGGCCGGCCCCACCACAGGACACAGCATCCCGCACTGAACCATGTCCCTGTGGAGGACAGCACTGGAGACACAGTGCGGGAATAGTGCAGGTCTGGCCCCATCATGCTGGGGTGAGGCACTGAGGGCATGCAGCAGAGCAGCAGGGGGAGCAGGGTGATGAAACCCCTGGGGAATACCAAAAATAGACTTTAGAGACAGAGTGTTTGCAGCCCATCAGACTCGACTAGAAAACACTCATAAAAGCCCACAAACAGACATTGAACTACTTAGAAGCTTTTCTATTTTTGTTGGTGGCTTTCTTTTTGTTATTGTTATTTTGTTTTGTTTGGGGTTGTTGTTGTTATTGTTTTGTTGGTTTTGACTTCCTTCGTTGTTTTAGTTAGCTTGGCTGGGTTTCTACACTTATTAATGTATCTGCGTGTCTATCTAGATAAGATAGGTGGGATAAATAATTTGGAGATGAAAAAGCGCCAGGAGGCTAAGGACATCTATAGAGGCCTAAATACAGGCATGCACATATGTAAATATATTTATATAGTGAGAGGGGAATAGAACTATGTACTCGTATCTACATGTTAAAAATTAAGGTTGCAGATGGACATTGGGCCTCGACTCAAGTACTCCCTTAACACAAGAACACTTTGTTCTAACAATCTGGCATTCTGTGATGCTTACCTTCCCGACATGATCATTGAAGGCAAAATGGGTGCATAAGCAACTGTGGTGAAGAAAGCTGATGGTGCCCAGCTTTCAAAAGATAGAGTGTCTGGGGTCTTAGAAGCTTGAAGATAAACAAGCAGCCATCTAGCTGAGAAGCAACCAAGCCCACATGGAAGAAGTACATCAACCTGTGTAATCATGAGGTGTCAATGGGATTAGGTATCAGACATCTAAGACCCAGAACAAAAACATGCCCAAGATGAATTGGAGGGAGTGGAGGCATGGTGTGGAGACTTAATGCCGATCTGTAGACAATTGGACATCTCCTCACAGAGGGGTCACAGGGAAGAGATGAATCAGTCAGAGTTCAGTATAGCACCGATGAAACAACAACTTTCCTCTAGTTCTTTGGTGCTTCCTTTCCCCCAATATCATTACTTCAGTTCTACCTTACAAATCGGATTAGACCAGCACATGCACACTGCTACAGACAAGAGCACGCAATACAGGGAATCCAGGATAGATAAACCCCTCAGGGCCAACAATGAGAGTAGAGATTCCAGCAGGATTAGAGGATGGTGGGGGGAGAAAGGGGGAATCGATCACAAGGATAAATCTAGAATCCCCTCCCAGGGGGATGAATAATGGAAAAGTGCGTGAGGGTCAATGGAAGATGATGTAAGATATGGGAATAATAATCTATAACTTATCAAGGGTTC